CAGAGCTCTTCCCACACAGTATTGGAGAAACAGTTCCTGAGAGCTTACTCTTGGCATTCAGTAGATCCAGTGTTTTATTTTCTCTGATCTGGCAGTTAACGTAATGTGTGAATGTGGGAAGGGTGGAAGATGCGCAGACATGGTTGAAGTTCCCAGAGATCAGAAAAGAGCCTGTGGTGGTATTGTGCAGGATATACACAGATATCATAATAACATGTGTAAATTCCTGGGGCAGGTAGTTGTACCTTAATGCTAACTCCTAGCAACCCAATGTCTTTGCTGCAGAGCATCACTTTAATGGATAGGTGTTCAGAGTAACACCATCTATTGTTTACAAACACAGCCAGACCCCTCCACTCTTCTTAACACTCTCCCTGGTTCTGTCAGCAAGAAGTTGATGAAATCTGTCCATGTTTACTCGAGAGTCCGGAGTTAGCACAATTAGCCACATCTCTGATAGGCATAGGAGGCTAGTCTCTCGGTAGCATGTTTCATGGTAAGTTAAAGCCGCCAACTCATCCACCGTGTTAGAGAGAGATCTGATGGTTCCCATGATGATCGACGGATGTTTTTAAAACATCCATCCTTCTGAAGTTTAGGTGCAAAATTAGTCTCTGTGTCCCCTGTAGTGTAATCCTTCCTGTGACTCAAGAAAGAAAGTGTCCAATGTCTCTCCAAACAAAAAGACCATTGTTCATTTTGAAACATTTCCATCCGTAGTGTTATCAGTGCTATTCAAACAAAACAACCTAAACCTAAGATGTTAGCAAACAAACAGAAACAATGACAAACATATAAGAAAACAAAACCCCCTGTGGTGTATCCAATCTCTCCCAAAATGTATAGGTTCATCATGTCATTCATTTAATGCCTCTGTCAGCATGACTGCTCTTAATGGAGACCATATTCCACCCCAACAAAAGTCCTCGAGCTTCAAACCACCATATCCATCTGTACCTCATAGGTTAAATCAGAACCACAGAGAAATTAAAACAAACTCAGAGCTCTCCAGAATGGCCTTCAGCCAGGAACAAAACATGTTGCTCACAATCTCTAAACACTGTATTTGGCATGCTACATTCTTACACCATCTCTCGGATGTCCTAATCAATGATTCGGATCCAGTCCAGTTATTAACCAAGTCAGTCTAGTCAGTCAGAACCTATTTAAATCCTCTTATCAAAGGTTTCAACCATCTGAACCCCTCTCTCTCTGGCTGCTTTCAGTCAAGTTGTTCATTTCATTTGCCAGGACTTCTGTACCTGCTGGGAAAGTAAGGGTTAATGCACATCTTTAACAAAACACAATAAAGGATGAGACTTTGCCAGCCTGTCCTGGAAGAAAAATGTTAATATTTAAGGATTGTTACAATCACAGCCTATAAAAAAACATATTTAAGCAAAACAACCTCCTGATTCTTCTTAAATGGGCCTCTGAATGATCATGCCTGCTCCCTGACAGCCTCACTGTCAGTATCTACAAACAGGGCAAAAGTAAATGACCCCTCAGGTTTGTTACCACGAAAATGCAATCAAACAGTTCATCAATTAGTCAATAGTTAATCACTTCATTAACAAAAATTAGTAGAATTTAACAAGGCATGCAAAGAAAGTAATGATCAGATGAACAATGAAAAGATAATTGTTAGTAATGGTTAGAGATGCAAATGAATCACTTTGCAGTTTCCAAATGATGGGTTTTGAGTCTGGCTTTGAATAAGGGGAGAAAGTCAATACTGCGGAGGTCGGGAGGAAGTGAGTTCCAGAGCTGGGGAGCAGAGCGGCTGAAGGCTCTGCTCCCCATGGTGACAAGACGAGCTGGGGGTACAGTGAGGTGGATGGAGGAGGAGGATCTAAGGGAGCGGGAGGAGTTTATGCCCCCAGAGCTCCTTCTGAATCCTGTAAAAATGCTAATCATATTAATGTCAATCCGTGTATCATTCGTTCTTTCTATTTTCAATTGCCAATCAAAAAATAAAAAATTAACTGGTTATTTTGTTATTTGTTTTTTATGGTTAAACCAAAAACGAAAAAGGATTTGTTTTTCATATATCAATTCTAAGCTCAGATCAAGAATACGAAATGGAAAAACGGACAGCAACGCAGAATTTGATTTTAATATTTAATCGGTACAGTTTACGTGACCCGGAAATAGCTCTTTGCGCAGCAGTTGGGGTAATGAAGTGGCTACCATGGCGACGCTAGAACCACACACTATGTTGATCGAGAAGCTGTTTGTTGTTGCTAGTTAAAAGTACAGTGCACAGAAAAGTTTCAAGAAAAAAGTTATACCTGGAAAATCCTGCAAATTTTCTCCGTTGTCATGTCCTCCTCCTTAAGAGTCACACGCTTGGATCCTCGAAATAAAACGTAACTGTCCATGGCTGATAGGTCCGACTGCCTTATCTGGTGCAGTTTGATCGAACGTGGTGGGGGTAAGCCAATAGTTTTTTTAGCTAACGCTCCACCAAACTTCCGGGTCACGTAAACTGTACCGATTAAATATTAAAATCAAATTCTGCGTTGCTGTCCGTTTTTCCATTTCGTATTCTTGATCTGAGCTTAGAATTGAAATATGAAAAACCAATCCTTTTTTCGTTTTTGGTTTAACCATAAAAAACAAAATAACCAGTCAATTCTTTATTTTTTGATTGGCAATTGAAAATAGAAAGAACGAATGATACACGGATTAATGTCACATCAAAAACATAATTTCATCATCTGTAAGCTACTTTATAATTACTAAAATGATTAAAAATAAAGGCTTCAGATATTCCACTCTGTATAATTAATCAAAAAGTCTCCCCTCTTATTAGTGAAAACTAGGGCTGCAAACTAATGATTAAATACTCCACCTCTGCAGTCACTCAGTGCTGGTTCCTTGTCATTGCTGTACTTGTCTTCTCAGCTCGTCTCACCCTGGCTACTCAGGATTGTTTTCCTCTGATATCTCCATGGTTTTTGGTTTGTTTAACATTTTAGTTGGATTACTGGATTGCTGCCTCTGTTTCCTGTGTTCTTAAATTAAATCTGTCAGAACTCATCTCTGCTTCATTCGTCTCTGCATCTGGGTCCTCAAGCAACCTCACCACCCACTGTTGACACTGTTTTGCAGTCTATACCAGAGGTCACAGATTAGTGGACTGCGTTCTGGATCAGCTGCTGGCTAGTCCGAACCCATCTGATTTAAAGCATTTATAAATCACTGCATGTTGTCCAACGACAGTGTCTAACTTCACTGCACCGCTTCTCCTGTTAATACGGTAAAGAACTCGGGAGCGTCCGGCACCAGGCTGCACGTGATCCAAATGATCTAATGAGCTGCTGTCAATTTATATTTTTGATACTTTAAGATGTTTATTGCCCTCCCCAGTAGGAGTGGTAAATATCTTATTTAATCAGATATTATTTTTCGGCTGGTAAATACTGTTTATGAACAGACGCCCTACTAGCTGTGCGTTAGAACAATAAATGAAAGAGGGATTCGAGCACTAATCATGGTCAAACAGTTAATTCAGCACATACATGGAATAAATTCACCACAACTTCTGTTCAAAATATAATAGTTTATTAACAAAAATCAATTCAGCTCCAGGTCAAACATATTTCAGTTTAACTCTCTGATAAATATGGATTTTATATTTTATGTTCTTTGACAGTCATACAAGTTTTACAAGATTTCGCGAGCTCTCGGTGCCATGCTCTGAGCATAACGTAACTTGTTTTTGGTTTCGGCTGTCCACAAGCCCTGGTTGGGTTCAGGGGATGCCGGAAACATATTTTGGTCTCTTTATTCATGCCCTACAGGCGTGAGAGGGAGCAATCATTTTCCTGATTGGGCGAAAGATTCTCCTTTGAAGTTTGGCATAAATGACGGGTGGAGGTTGGCACTGGCAGTCTGCTAGGGTTGCTTACGAACGCCTAGTTGCGCGGGTTACTGCCTTGCCAGGGTCGCCGCCCCTGTCCGTCATGGAGGCGCCCCTGTCTGCCATGGCGGCACCCCTGTCTGCCATGGCGGCACCCCTGTCTGCCATGGCAGCAGCTCTGTCTGCCATGGCTGTACCCCTGTCTGCCATGGCTGTACCCCTGTTCGCCATGGCTGTACCCCTGTCCGCCATGGCTGTACCCCTGTCTGCAATAGCGGCACCCAATGGCTGTACCCCTGTCTGCCATGGCGGCACCCCTGTCTGCCATGGCAGCAGCTCTGTCTGCCATGGCTGTACCCCTGTCTGCCATGGCTGTACCCCTGTTCGCCATGGCTGTACCCCTGTCCGCCATGGCTGTACCCCTGTCTGCAATAGCGGCACCCAATGGCTGTACCCCTGTCTGCCATGGCTGTACCCCTGTCCGCCGTTCGGCAATAAAGATGAACACACAAACTGTTTCTGCTAGAATAAAAATGTGCCATTTATGGCACACTTCAAAGTAAAATCTTTCACCCAATCAGGAAAAGTGACCGCTCCCTCTCACGCCTGGAGTGCATGATTACAGAAACCAAAATATGGAACCGGCATCCCCGAACCCACCCAGGGCTCGTGGACAGCCGAAACCAAAAACAAAATGACATAATGATCAAATACAAAAACAAGTTACTTCATGCCCAGCACCTGGTACCAATCACTTCTTCATCTGTGTTACCTTCCCAGAGCTACTGACCCTCCCCAGAGCTCATTATGCCCAGTATCTGTTCCCCAGAGCTCATGGACACAGTGTAAAAAAAAAAATGGTCCTGCTTCGATACAAACTTATATCCACCTTATTTTGGAACGCGGAAGTAACTCTGGGTTCAACTTCCGTTTGTGTGTGCCGCACTTCCGTTTCAGCGCTTTCCTATGCAAACTATCGCTAGCTTAACAGATTTAGTAATCAATGTCGTTGCAACATTTTCCTAATTTGCTAAGCGATCAGAGTGGCAGGTCAGTGCCACACCCTCGAACTATTCGTGAGTGGGAGGATGATATGAAAAAATTTCCTCATATTACATATGAGGGTAACTACAAGAGTAAAGAGGCGTATCAGTACCTCCACAGCGGAAAAGTTGGCAAGGTGTTAATCAGTAACAACATCAACGATCTGATATTCCTGAAAGCTGATGTCAACCCAAGCCAAAGCAAATCCGACGCTCATTCGGCATGGATCCTGACCACATCAACCGGCACTGTTGAGACGGCCGGGTGCACCTGTGTTGCGGGTTTGGGGAAATCCTGCAGTCATGCTGCAGCGATTTTATGGAAGGTAGGCTTTGAAGGCATTTTATTTATTTATTTATTTATCCTTTATTTAACCAGGTAATACCCATTGAGATTAAAAATCTCTTTTGCAAGGGAGACCTTGCAAAATAAAATTGTGAAATAAAATTCACTAGTCTTTATGAATAATATTTTTATTTTAAATCAACAGATTGTGTGCCTTTTTCACTATTAACTGCATATATTTTTGATATACAAATATTATCATAATATATAAAAAAAAAACTCATGGTAGTTTTTAAACTTTGTTTTAAAGGTGCAGTATGCTGTATCGAAAGGTCTCACTGGATGGTCCTGCACAGATGAGCAGCGGCACTGGAATTCAGGCACACAGCGCAATTTAGTCCCTAAAAGTTTCCTAGGTTCCATGGGAACACTGCAACCAGGTATGGCCAGGAGAATGAGGAGGTGGCCTATGCATGGCTGGAAAGCTGTGGTTCTGTGGTAGAAAAGAGGGGCACCGTAGTGAGTGTCACAGAACCATGGCTTTCTGCAAGCCCCGATGGTGTCGTTAATTCGACAGAGCTGCTGGAGATTAAATGTCCTGTTCTGACCAAAAACTGTGCATCTCTGGCTGATGTTTTTTCCAGCAAGTTCACAGATGTGAAGATGGTAGATGGGGTTCCACGGCTGCAACAAAATGGTTCCCGTGGGTACTATCTTCAAGTCCAACTTGGCATGTTTTGCACACAGCTTGAGAAATGCAAGCTACTTATGTGGGCTCCATAAGCGTCGTTAGACCTATTTAAGGGTGGCTTCAGTCATCCTTTCTTTGGCATTAGCCACCCTATAATTATTTTGCGATTTAAAAAAAAAAATTTTTTTTTTCTGTATTTATTTTTTCCTCATATTTTCCCAAAACAAATGCAGTAAAGCACCGAATAAAAGCTATAAAGAAGACAAGTTAATCTGAACAATCATAGGCGTAACTTCCTTAAGGACTGGTGTGGACATGTCCCCACCAATATTTTGTACACGTATTTTGCTTTCGGTGCTGTGTATATCTGATTAAAACCCCATTCATGCCGCTCCTCAGAAAGAAAATAAAAAAAGTTCTCCCCGCTGCTCACCGTCCACAAACCCCGACAAATAACTCAGAAAAAAAGAATCTGTTGCCTCTCGCTTTCTCCCCATCACCCCCCTCCGCCCTCTCCCCATAACATTTGAATTGAAGATATCCGCGGGTGACGGGTCGGGTTCGGTAGTCATCCTAACGGGTTCGGGCGGGTGCGGGTTGGTAAAACTCGACACATGCAGGTCTCTAAGCTACACTACATTCAGTATCGTTGCCATAGAAACAGACAACAGCGCCAATATATCAGAATTACTAAAACACACGCAAATAATTTCCCACATAAAAAACAGGACTTTCAGTCCATTACAGTTTTCCGTTTTTAGAGGGTTGTTTATTTTGCGTTTATTAAGCAGTGATTGATTAATTTAAACACCTGCTCTACTGATGGTCTATCAGAGTTGGTGTTTAGGTTGAACATAAAGAACACATAACTCTGATTACCGATTACTTTTAAGCTGGTTGAACATACTGCGACAGACTGGTGACCTGTCCAGGGTGATCCCCCCTCTCACCCAGAACGTGGCTGGAGATATGCACCAGCACCTCCTGATCCCACTGAGGGATAAGGTTAAAGAAAATGGATGGTTGAACATAGTCCGCTCTCCCAGATTCTATCAAATCAGTAGTGATACCCTCAGGGGCGGATTTAGGAAATTTGGGGCCATAGGCAAAGACAGGCAGGGGGCCCCCTGAGAAGTAAACCCATAAAACAGACCCATTCTACAGATAGAGAAATGTTAATAGAATAGACATCCATTATTTGTTCTAGGTTTTGTCCCTCTCTTCTTGTCCCTTTTTCCTCTCTATTTATCAGCGTTCTGATGGCATTTTAGCCAAAGGATTTTTATCAAAAACATAATTAATGTGCACAAATAAGGAATAGTTGTATTAACCATACATGGAAACAGAGTTTTATGGGGCCCCCAGAACTTGGGGCCCTAGGCAACTGCCTAGTATTGCCTAATGGTAAATCCCCCCCTGGATACCCTGCTGGTGGATGTTCTTGACAGAAAGACGGAGTTGCTTAATCATATTCTGCTTAAGGTCCCATAAGATCTTGTCCGAGTCCTGGTTTAAAAGTAAATTAATTTTAAAAAGTGACCCAAAATTGACTGTCAATAAATGTTCTACAAAATTGATATATTTATTTGATTTCTTTGATTTGTACTGTCTGTTTAGATTTATATGATATTTTTTGCACAAAATATATAAGTGAATATTGTACCGTAACAGTTATGTTTTCAACTGTAAGCATTAAATTGATAAATGTTATTCGCATTTTTTTGGCTTTATCCTTTCCAACAAAAAAAAAAAGGCGTCGCGCAGGTAGCTCCCTTTCCTTATGAGCCGTCCCCAACAACTTTCAACACAAAGTTACACCCTTGTCTTAGACAACGCCTTAGCAGGTGCACTGAAAAAATGCGCGCAATATCTTCTAGGGGCTGAGCCACCCTTGTCTCTTAAACCTAGAGACGCCCCTGGTGGGCTCCATCAGAGAAAATTGTTATTGATGTCCCATTTGATTTGGAATATTGTTTACAAATTCTACCTAAACTCAAGTCATTCTATTTTAGTCAGATGCTGCCAAGGATTGTAGATGAGTTTCTGGCAGGCAGACTGACACTGTGCAAAAAATATGAAAATCTATGTAAATAAGTTGAGATTCTAATCTTTAACCCACAGTATGTGTGTGCCACACCAGCTTTCCTGTTTCTGTGCTATGTGATGCTACCCAACTGTTAACCGTTATGACGCTTTGTTATGCCAGTTCCTTGGTGTTTTTATTTTTATGACAGAATAAGAATTTGTTTATAATAATTAAAATGTTTCCATAAGTGAAATAATAAAATAAATTTGTAAAAGACTGCATCTTCTTGTTTGTTTATGCACATAAGATACACTACAGTTCTTTACATCTGGGTAAGACAGACTGATCAAAATAACTAAGCACAAATTACATTGGACTGAACAATTTATTAATAGAGATTTTATTTGGACACATGTTTTTTTGTATCTGTAAACTTAAATGTCTAACAATAATTGTGAACACTTTTTTATTATAATTCATCAGTAGTGCACAATATAAATCTGGAAAAATAATTATATATATATATATACACTATATTGCCAAAAGTATTTGCTCACCCATCCAAATTATTGGAATCAGGTGTTCCAATCACTTCCATGGCCACAGGTGTATAAATTCAAGCACCTAGGCATGCAGACTGTTTTTACAAACATTTGTGAAAGAATGGGTCGCTCTCAGGAGCTCAGTGAATTCCAGCGTGGAACTGTGATAGGATGCCACCTGTGCAACAAATCCAGTCGTGAAATTTCCTCGCTCCTAAATATTCCACAGTCAACTGTCAGCTGTATTATAAGAAAATGGAAGTGTTTGGGAACGACAGCAACTCAGCCACGAAGTGGTAGGCCACGTAAACTGACGGAGCGGGGTCAGCGGATGCTGACGCGCATAGTGCGAAGAGGTCGCCAACTTTCTGCAGAGTCAATCACTACAGACCTCCAAACTTCATGTGGCCTTCAGATTAGCTCAAGAACAGTGCGCAGAGAGCTTCATGGAATGGGTTTCCATGGTCGAGCAGCTGCATCCAAGCCATACATCACCAAGTGCAATGCAAAGCGTCGGATGCGGTGGTGTAAAGCACGCCGCCACTGGACTCTAGAGCAGTAGAGACGCGTTCTCTGGAGTGACGAATCGCGCTTCTCCATCTGGCAATCTGATGGACGGGTCTGGGTTTGGCGGTTGCCAGGAGAACGGTACTTGTCTGACTGCATTGTGCCAAGTGTAAAGTTTGGTGGAGGGGGGATTATGGTGTGGGGTTGTTTTTCAGGAGCTGGGCTTGGCCCCTTAGTTCCAGTGAAAGGAACTCTGAATGCTTCAGCATACCAAGACATTTTGGACAATTCCATGCTCCCAACTTTGTGGGAACAGTTTGGAGCTGGCCCCTTCCTCTTCCAACATGACTGTGCACCAGTGCACAAAGCAAGGTCCATAAAGACATGGATGACAGAGTCTGGTGTGGATGAACTTGACTGGCCTGCACAGAGTCCTGACCTCAACCCGATAGAACACCTTTGGGATGAATTAGAGCGGAGACTGAGAGCCAGGCCTTCTCGTCCAACATCAGTGTGCGACCTCACAAATGCGCTTCTGGAAGAATGGTCAAAAATTCCCATAAACACACTCCTAAACCTTGTGGACAGCCTTCCCAGAAGAGTTGAAGCTGTTCTAGCTGCAAAGGGTGGACCGACGTCATATTGAACCCTATGGATTAGGAACGGGATGTCACTTAAGCTCATATGTGAGTCAAGGCAGGTGAGCAAATACTTTTGGCAATATAGTGTATATATATATATATATATACACACACACACACAAAGGAAGGCACAATCAAGGCCCTGTAAACTGTCAAATAACTATATACAAATTTGAAATTTCAGTGGAAGTCTGGATCTTTTTGTATAACCAAAACCTGCACGCTCAATCAGCATCCTCGTGAATAATTTCACCCTGCATGTTTACCAGGGCTGCACAGATCCTCAGGATTTTGTCCATTTTGTATGCTAAGTTGATTGGTACTGTCTGGGAGATAATTTTGAAAACTTTCAGTCTCCGGATGACTCTTTCTACATGTATGCGGACATTTGCAATCCTTCTTGTCGCAGTTACATCCTCATCAAACAACTGTCCTCCTTTACGAGTGAATGCAGGTAGAGCAAGGTTAACTTTTCTCTCAAAAAGCAAATCTCTGATGGGAAAACCTCTGTCTGCCATCACTTCATCACCAGGACGAAGATACTCCAGGAACCCAGACTCCTGAGTGATGAACTTATCACTACACCTACCTCCATAAGCAGGAGAAATGAACATAACAAGTCCAAAAGGGGCAATGGCAACTAAATACTTAATAGTCTTACTTGAATAATAATGGCTGTATGACTCCCCTCTGTGCAGTCAATGATGCAGGTGGTGTTGGGGAACGTCTCCCGGAAGCACTGAGGCATTGTGCTCCGGATTGTCTCCCGTGAAAGCCAAGGAATGTAGATCCTCATGTTCTCCTCCATTGTGTCGATCCAGTAGGAGATGATCCGGCTCACTAATCCCTGGGATACAGCAAAACGTTCCGCAAGATCGGCCTGGAGTAGATTTAACTTAAGTTTCATTGTGGTCATCAATATTTGATCCACTAAGTGTGTCTTAAAATTTGCTTTATAGAACTGTTCCAGATATTTAACAAGATCAAAAAAGGCACAGAGAGAA